GTGTGTGTGTGTGTGTGTGTGTGTGTGTGTGTGTGTGTGTGTGTGTGAGAGAGAGAGAGAGAGAGAGAGAGAGAGAGAGAGAGAGAGAGAGAGTTAATGTGTGTGTGTGCGTGTGTGTGTGTGTTACGCGGCTACTCCGACATGTGTGAACCGATTTCAATGATGAAGAAAAGGGTATCTCAGTAGCGGGTCCATTCAAATTTGTAGAAAATATAGGACTACAATCCGGTTTATTGGAGTTAGAGGTCGTTTTTTTTTTATAAAAAAAGTTATTATTAATAATAACCACACAAAGACTGGATCGACTAAGACTTTGTAACGATGGGGCACTAAAGGTATGGTCCCAAACAAAAAATACACATTTTATTTTTTTCCTACTAAACTATTATATTTACGGCAAAATGTGATATGACAATATTTAATTAGGACAATAGGATCTCTCGATTGGCATTTTTTTGAGAGAGATGGCGTGAAAAACAATCCAATGTCCACAATATCGCAGATCCGACACACTGTGTGTCGCAAAGTTAAGATAAATATAGTATAGCTGCCTGTCCCCAATTACATCAATTTTTAATGTTCTTAAGTGACTTCCCGAATCCCGAAAAGATCCAGGATCTAAAAAATATTGTTGTAAGGCAATCTCCATTTTCTGTCATGTTCCTCGAAGTTTAGGTAAAAAAACTCTACCTTTTCCGATCCCTAATAATAACGCACACTCTCATTGCCCCGCACTAGGGAAACCCTGAGTCGCGGGTGCCATGGACACACATAGACAACCACAAATTACACCCAAATTCTCGAGAGAAATAAATGTAGACAATACAAATATTTCTCTCAACCCGGGAATCGAACCCGAAACCTCTGCGTGGCAGACCAGTAGATTTCATTGATTGATTTTAGTTTTGAATTAATTTTTTATTATTATGACATGAAGTTTCTTGTTTCAGGGCGAGAAATTGTACCTGGTGCGGCCTTTGCCCCGCGCCGGCGCACCTTGCTGAACTACACCCTCCACACGTTTCCCAGTCTGTTTACCCTTAAACTACCTATATGTTCATTTTAGTATGACCAGTATATTATCTTTTATCTATCTCATTCCTGCGATTATTCATATTTGCCGTCTCATTCACACAATGACTGACAAAATGATAAATAATTTCAATGAATTTATGAAAGAGCAGCACTCTACTTCAGTGTCTATCTCATGTTGCTAACTTGCGTAAAGCTGTCCGAATACTCTATTTGTATGAATGAGACAGCAATAGTTTTATCTGCCTTGAGAACAATACATAAACTGTAACGGTGTAACAATAATGTACCAATGAATAGCCACGAACACTAACCATTTTTTATTACAAGAAATACGAACCAAGCCATCGAAAAAAAACACAATCAAGGTTTGATTTGATGTAGCAATGACACTTAGTAAGAAATGTATCGCAAAGGAAACCTTTTAGATCTGTCACAACTGCAAAGTCAATTTAATTATTCCATTCCAAATCGTTGAAGCAACCATAGACAATAGAATCATCACGCCTTGTTGACTCTACTGATAATTTAAAACTTTAGTGCCAACATTATGGTTTTGTATTATCTATGGAAGGGTTCCACGAATGATTGTACAGTACAGTTTAAAACTTGTAAAAGGGTAAATTTAGAAAATGATTTAAAAGCTATATCGTACCTCTCTGTCTAGTCATATCTGGAAGAAAGAGTTGGCGATAGTGGCTAATGAATTGGACAGATTCCATTAGATTGGCTTGTGTAAGAAATTATATAGGAAGGAAGTAAAATATATTTTATAAAATTGTCTTGGAAGTCCTAACGACTTCAAGCAAACGTTAACACAATTCTAATGTTGTATCAACAAGGGTTGTATTTCCTCATCCACACATTCATTAGGTGAGATTGTGCACATACGTAAACTAACTAAACTAAAAAATAAAACTAAATAATATTACCTTGTGGGCCTTATTAGAGTCACCTTATAAAACGGTGATTTATAAAAAAAACAGGTTATTCTATATGTATTTGCAGCTAATTAACCGTCTTTTTTCCTTTCGCTGTTGTTAGATAGCAGAAGAAAGAAACAATGATATCTACCTACTGACTTATTTTACTTTCTCCGTATATAGGTTTCTCTTTGAACAATGAATGTATGGAATCTGTTCCATTTCAAATTCCATGTTTTATACATTAAACGCGGCGTTGAAGCAACGTCGCCATAATAAATAATAACAATAATAAAACCAAAAATTGGCTTCTTTACCGCATCTCTACTAGTTAAGAACGTTTTCTATATTATATTATTTAGGTTAGAATCGCTTTATGGACTTCAGAATCAAGTTTACATCTCATATAAGCAAAATGTTGCAAACATGACCGTGCTAATGAATTCTGCAAACGTTTTACGGTTTGTGACGTCACAATTTGCTATTCTAAACAGCTGGAGTCTATAAAATATCTAAGTACTTTGTAGGATAATTTCTAAATGAGTTAAAGCAGCGTTTTATATACTGTAATAATATTAATAAAAATAAATATCAAGAATTTTGAATGTATGTTGGGGGAATACATTTTTCTGTCCTAATGTGTGATTCCAGAGATATATACCGTTGGAATTTAATCTTATAGAGTGCATAAAGACTCCTTTTAAACTACAAAGGTGTTTTCTTCATAGTGCATTTCGGTTTACGGCTTCTATATGGAGGGGGTTGAGTGTAAGAAATTTTATTCCATTTCGCAGTTTCATTTTTTTACGAACTGCCCGACTGTCAAAAGGACAATTGCACAAGCACCCTTATGCTATATATCTTTGGAAATCTAGTAAGAATGCTTCGGAAGTTATGTGATGTTTATAATTGTATGAATTTATACGCAAGTGTACACCGCCGATGTGATGTTCGGCCACATAGTTATATGTAAGTCATTCTCAGGGAAATTGAGTCGAAGGATTGCGCTGTGGGGTCGCGTGATACCTGTTTTTGTAGTTGTTTCATCAAGACGACGTTTTGCCTTATATACTTTGATGCAATAAAAATGTGCTGTCAATTAAGCTGGAAGAATTTAGACTTACAGTGCGAAGAACACGCCTAGCGCGTTTAGTCAGTTATTTTTTCGCAGTCTGTACTTTAGGTTTTGACTTCTTCTTAGCGTATTTTTTTACTTAAGGTAGCTTAAGTGCACTTTCAAATTAGACGCTAATAGAAGGGCTGTAGTGGTCCACTACGTCTAATTTGAAGTGCCCTTAATATTAGTATCTGTATTGTGAGTTTGCAATGTTGTCATACGCATAGTTTACGCGGTTGCTAACACATTTAACACTTCTCATGTTGATCTATTCAACAATGTGTGTTTCAAGGTTTCTATGAGTTTTGCATCTCCTTTCTGCTTTTGCGAATATATAGGCTCTATCGTCTGTTATAAATGACATTTTACATGGTATAATAAATGACATTTTACACGAAGTCTCTAAATGTACCTGTGCTAAGAAAATTGCGATCTTTTTGCAGGTTCAATAAAAAGGCTATAACCTTCTAAGGCCCAGTGTACATCAGAATTTACATAATTTGTAAATTGGGTCTGAAGACCCAGACAATGTTGTTTCTAAGATCACGTAAACACCCAGTATACATTATATTAAACATATGGCATTCAAATTATGCGATATATATTCTTTATGACTATAGAGTGTCTATAAAAATACGTTTTTCATACAAAACTTAGGACATACTTGCTTGAACCTGAAGAATGTAATAATATTTAATACATTTTAAAGTACATGGTCGTCTAGCGTGTTTACCATTATAGTTTTACATATGAACACGATACCATACGTATCGTCGTATGTGTAAAGGCCCTTAGCGCTCGTTAGGGTACGACGTTGTCGTGCTACGACGCGACGTCGTATCGTGTTTATTTGTTTGAGCCCTTAGGAGGATAAACTCAATAAGAGTTTTACCTGCAGAAAGATCGTGATTTTCTTACCACAGCTACATACGTAGAGACTTCTTAATGGAATATGTCACTTATGCGGTTTTTTGCCTTTAGTCAGACGATATATTCGCCTTCGATGTGCAATGTGTACAGAACGTAGCTAAATATTCATAACAGGAAAAGGGATAAAATTAACTGTAAAAACAGGTTCGTGCTGGTTTTGTAAGAGAATTATCGCTCAAATAGGCGTACGCCACAGTGAGACTTGATCTTATGCAATGTAGGGTAGACTACGCATCACTTGAACACATTTGTCTCAATGGATAATGGACAAATACGTACTATCGAGAACTGAAGTATTATATACAATTATATGCATAAATTATTGATATAATCGTTATTGCACGTTATATAATACAATTAGGCATTATGTTATATTTTGAATAAGTTAAAGCAATAATATGCATGATATTATACGATCGTGTATTTGGGTAGATAATCCATTTATCAAAAAATAAATAAACTTCCGTAGTCTATCCTACACAATTGATGACTGATAGTATTCAGCGTCATCGGTAATATTAAATGTACCAACTGAAAAGTCTGAGTAGAGACCGTATAGTCTGAAAGTTTCTATCAATTTAGTCATTTCGACAACGAATTTCAATGTCCCAAGGGTAAGGTTGACAGGGGATTAGGTGACATTGCTTAGCTTATAAATCATGAAAAATTACGTGGACACTTTATGAAAGAATTAACATTACTAATTCCTTTTGACAATATGAACAATTTGTCAACAGGCAACATTAACACCGCTAAATAAGATCCATAACATCGCCAAAGAGTGAAAACGCATTTTATATACTTTTTGTTGAAGCCAGATCTATAAACCTGTTGCTTAAATATATTTTTATTATTACTATAGTATCGCAAAGAGGTATAATTAGATTTATGAACTCGTCACGTATCCTATAGACGCACGGTGCCTCTAACAATTTTGGTTAAAAAATATATATATATATATATATATATATATCTTCATCGTAGAAATCACATACGAAGTTCTCACTTTTAGACGACGATTAAGTTATCCACATTTGTGTCATGTTGGTGTCAGACTTCCGACTCATATCACCGACTAAATTATGTGATTCCGGAGATATGATGCTCTCAAATTGCACAAATGTCGATCCGGCCTAATTGATTTGAATCTAACATGACCTAGGAAATGACACTATTTTTCCGGATTTAAATCGCGTATATATTTTTTTTCAAACAAACCGACGTTTCGGGCCCTTTGCAGGTCCCATGTTTGAAAAAACAAATATACGCGATTTAAATCCGGAAAAATAGTTTCATTTCCTATGTGTAACAATCGCGAAAACCTAAGAACTCGATACTAACATGACCTGCTTATGACGGTTAAGACAAGTAGTGTTGTCCACAAAAGCTATGTCACCTAATCCATTGTATCGGGTTGAAATCTCAGCAGGCGATTTCCACTGATGTGACTGCTGCTAGTCAATACGCCGGCATCACAAACTTCAGCTTTTAAAAATCCCCTTTATTTTTTAATATTGTCAAGTTAACACAGACTATTGATAATTTACTAATTTTGAATGTAATGTTGAAAAGAAAAATGGGTCGCAAAAATAAAGGAAAAATTACTTCATAGTACAAATGATTTATGGATTATGATGTTAATCATAAAACACATACTGCATGTATGTTAACCCGCCTTAAAATAAGCCTGAATTGCCAATTTTAAAAGTTTTATAGTCAAAAGTATCACATGATTAGTCTGTGTTAACAAGACAACTAAGCATCTGCAATTATATACCCGATTCGATAAATATAATTGATAAGAATATAACAACGGCAGCTGTCGAATTATTCTTATTTATAATCTTAGTTTAACTTGTAGATATTAGAAAATGTACTAGGAAATTATTGATTTTTATGTTTAGGGTCTTTTTTGACGTAGAATTGGAGTACTAACTATGGGGTTAATGCATTAGACAACCTGAGACAACTCTTCAATGGCTTTTCCAAATTGCATCTCCTACGATGGGAAGAAAATAAATTTTGTGATTGAAGCAATTCTTTGCATTAGGAATTCGAGATTAAAAACGTAAACAAAAATCTGTCACTGTCATAGTGTCGTCATATAAATAAAAAACTGTTAAACAACGTTATAGAACTATTTGGAATCATGTCGTAATATTTACTGTTACAAACAAAAGCTGACTTCAGGTCTTATTAAATCTATTGTAATTAACGTGGATGCCCTGTCCAGGTCCGTTTTCAGGTGGCACCATTGCAAGTTTCTTAAAGGGGAATTAAGCCCTAAGTCGCATTTTATTATTCAATTATATACATTTTATTTCGGTAACGTAAACGAAGCAAAGTTACGTTATCAATGTAAACCAAGTGTAGTACAAGTTTGCGCGCTGGCTGTTTTAAAACACGTGTTTGGATAGCCACAAAAAAATAATATATAAAAGACATTTATTAATTAATTATTTATGAAAATTAATTACTAATTCTAAAACAAAATCTTTAACTTTTTTTGTTACTATTGTTTACCGAAATGCCATTCTCAGAAATAAAATTGTCAGGTAGTCCATTGATGACCCTCTCAGGTTTTGAAAGTCTTCGCACCATAGTAGGTACTATTTTTTTCTCTTTCTCCTTAGTTCAAACTCTTAAACATTATAAATAGATTTCTGCCAACAGAAAA